GCCATCCAAGATGTAGATGAGTTTGTTTCTTCATCAGAACAGATTTGGATATAATTTAGCATTCCATCACTTGCTCACCAGTGGATCCTCTGCAGTGAATGGGTGCCGTCAGAATGAGAGTCCAAACAGCTGATAAAAACATCACAATAATCCACAAGTAATCCACATGACTCCAGTACATGAATTAACATCTTGTGAAGTGAAAAGCTGCACGTTTGTAAGAAACAAATCCTTCATTAAGGGGTTTTAACTTTAAACCATTGCTTCTGGCCAAAATATGCGTCCATAATAATCCATAATAACACTTCCTCAGGTGTAAAATTCCATCTCCTGTTGTCCTCTCACATCAAAATCCACCGACGTGTTTGTTTAGAAGTGTTTTCGCTTGTAAACGGTGTTTGATCTGTGCATATTTCTCTCCTGATTCAGAAAAGACGACTTTTTCACCGTTGATAGCAATATCATGGATAGATGACTCATATTTTAGCTGGAAGCAACAGTTTGAAGTTAAAAAGGTCTTGATGGATTCGTTTCTTACAAACATGCAGCTTTTTACTTCACAAGACATGAACTGATGGACTGGAGTGGTGTGAATTACTTGTGGATTATTGTGATGTTTTTATCAGCTGTTTGGACTCTCATTCTGACGGCACCCATTCACAGTTAAGCCTAGATGGCATACAGCAAAAACTACAGGGCATGCGCACATCAATATAGTGTAATTTTTCTCACTGTACAACAGTAATTACTATTTTTGCATTATTGTAAGGGGTAGGTTTAGGGTTGGGGTAGGTGTTGACGTTAATAAAACACAATCTAATAGGTAGAAAATTCAATTTATTGTTAGCTTCCAGTTTTTGCTGTATCCCTTCTATCCACAACCCCCATTCACTGCAGAGGATCCACTGGTGAGCAAGTGATGGAATGCTAAATTATATCCAAATCTGTTCTGATGAAGAAACAAACTCATCTACATCTTGGATGGCCTGAATGGGAGTAAAATTTCAGCGATTTTGTTCAAACTATTCCTTTAAAAGTGTGGATGTTTTAGGGAGGTTTGGCAGGGCTGGTGTCTGGTTTGGCTCTGTCACTGTGGGTGTGCATCGGGGCACAGATATACCCTCCACTACCAGAGAACAGCAGACCGCTGGCTCTGATGACACACGGCTGTAACTTCTCAGGTGGCACTAACTGGACTGCAAACATAGACGACTTCATACTGAAAGAGCAAAGGTGGGTTGCAAAAATCAATTGAGTCAAAATCTATTGGCTGTTACATAACCGTACCTATTTCCTAACAGGCCTTTCCTGGCTGATAACTGGTACTCACTCTCATACCTGTACTTCGGCCCACTGGGGACTGTGACGGTCATCACCGTGGGTTTTATTGTCAGCATACTTTCAGGTATGAGACTTTCTGATAGGTGAAGCACCCTGCTGTCGTTGTTCAAAGTAACTGATGTTTTCTAAATTTGTCTCCAAGGCGGCACACAGATGAAAGTGCAGTCTGGGCTTACGCTATCAAAAGAAGACCTCACCTTCTACAAAGCCTACAATGTACTCAAAGCAAAAGTGAGCATATTCTTTAATGCATATATATATATAAATACATATGTATAAATGGACAGACATACTCACACTATTCCCATCTATTTGATCATTTTCAATTATTTGCACTAAAAGGTTTCCAGTAGCGCAGGAAATTTTGACCTGGTGCAGGAGCTGGAGAAATCCTTTGGAAAAACCAACTTTGCTTTCTGTGATGTAGAGCTGTCTACACAAAGACCTGCTTAGAACATCATAAAACTTAAGTGTATTTAAATATAAATACATATGTAATTGTCATTACAAATAACTGCCTATTGTATATCTAACAAGGACTTAGAAGTAGTAAAAAATAAATGTTTATGTCCAAATCTGTTGTAGTGCAACACATCAAACACAGACATTCAAAAACGTAGTGATTTCACTTTTGACACATATACAGTCTGGCAGAAACATCGATTAATGCTCTGGTTCGTAGTAGCGCCTCTTCATCGCTCTGTATTTCCTGAGGAAGTAAAGCGCCTCGAGTTCTTTGATCACAAACTCTCCACGGTCAACCAGCTTTTTGATTTTCTCAGGATCTGTGACATCTTTGTTCTTCATGAGCAGAAAGTAGTGATTTCACTTTTGACACATATACAGTCTGGCAGAAACATTGATTAATGCTCTGGTTCGTAGTAGTGCCTCTTCATCGCTCTGTATTTCCTGAGGAAGTAAAGCGCCTCGAGTTCTTTGATCACAAACTCTCCACGGTCAACCAGCTTTTTGATTTTCTCAGGATCTGTGACATCTTTGTTCTTCATGAAAGCTGCTTTCAGACGCTCCCTGAAGTATGTAGTGCCTTTTGGATATTCCCGCCCAAGATACAGAAGCTGTAGAAAAGAAATGCATTGCCCAGGCAATGGATAGTCATCATTACAATTTTACATTTCTTCTTTCTTTCTTTCTTTTGTGACTCTGCTGCCATGCAATGTTATGTCCAATAAAGGATGACATACAGTACCACTGGACAACATTTCATATGAAAAGAACAGATCAAAAAGGAAACTGACAGAAAAATGATGCTTACATTTTTGTACAATCTTATAACTTCTCCTCTCAGTGGATTACTCATTTTAACTTTATCCTGAGATAGCGAATAATCCTAAAACAAACAATAATACACCACAATTTAATGCCTATTGTATTCAGTAGCATGCAACACCCAATTAACACATAAATGTGGACTAAAATTCTCCTTGAATATAATTCTCCTTATTTTGTATTGTCATACTTTATAGTTTATTAAGGTGATAAAAGCCGATTTATTGGAATGTATAAAGTCATCTTCAGCTGGGTAGTAAAGTTTTCTGTAAGAAATATGGTTTATGACAACGTTTGCTCACCTACAAGACCATAACAGGTGTTTACCAGGACGTGCGGGGAAAATGCCATGATATGGACGCTTTCCAAAATAAAAGCCAGGTTCCGTCTTTGAATTTTTTCAAAATAAAAGTCATTGTAGTTTTGAACCAGTCAACTATGTGGGCTGTAAACCTTAGATGTGTTTTAACTGGAGAAAACATTGTCTTTTCGCACAGTATTTTTATACCAGAGCAATAACTTGAGATCACCAACAACCTTATTTCAAAACATATTGTTATCATTTTATTTAACAATATCCATAAACTCCACAAAATATGCACTGGCAAAATAGCATAATCCTATCCAAAATACTGTCCTATATAAACCCCAATCAACATGAAAATATACTGATTTACATTCTTAAACACCCCTCTTCAAACGTATACCCAAAATATAAATAGACTTCAGTCCTGTTCTTGGAATATTCTCTGCATTAATACATCTAGTGTTCATCAAGTGCTGCAGTGCATGTTCCCAACAGTTATCCAGATGAATTCCAGCTCTTCTTCCTATACAGAAGCAGGTAGGCTGTCTCTCTAAAAACAGCATGCAAAATTATAATTAAAACCTGGAAGATTGGTCTTGGAAGTAATTATTTAAGAGGTCTGCATTTGTGTTTTGCTTTCCTTTGAAGTGCCTGTGAGAAGCTATATAAATTTATGGTTATTGATGTTTAACGTACCCATAGTGCCGACGATACCCTCCATATGTGTCCTGCACATTTTCCCATGTGGACTGAGATAAACAAAACAATTGCATATAAGTATCAGTTACATAACACTCTTAACTATTTCAGATACTAGTTAAATCAGGCTGTCACTATTTCTTACTGGTTGCACGCAGCTGTCATCAGCGTAATACCAGTCCTGATTTGAACTGATGAAAGCAGTGTAGTGACCAGACATGGTACTTCCCATATGCACTACTACTGCATAGAGACTGTAATGCTCAGCCTTGAGACAATCAGCCTAAAACAAGCATACAACAAATCAAGCATATATGGCAATATTATTTTGACTGCATGGTACTTTACTAAATATCTACTAAACATACATTTTCTGATTGTCCTGCAGCAAAAATGGCAGTGCTAAACGTTTCAGGGAAGGTGACTTTGTCGTAGAGTTTCTTGGTGAAGCCATCATAATTTCTGAATCTTTTCAAGTGGACACACAGAATCGGAGGCAATGACACAAGTTTCACCTCCTACATGACAATTAACGAAAACGTCAGAAAATCAAAACAATCAACTCACAAAGCATTGCAATATGTCAGTTAAATTCTTACTTGAATTTGCTATATCACCACATGAAATCAATTAAACTATCAGAAATGTAATTATTAAAGATTAAACTGTTATATAATGCAATAACAAATAAAGCACACACATAAGAGGACGGCTGCTTTTTTTCACAGTTGTCGCAGTAAACCTTCTCACTGTCCGCCAGCTTTTGTAGCTGGAAAAAAGAGTTGATGCAGCTTTCCTGAAGAACATGAGGAGGAAGAATTATGTATGATTTGCTCAAGATCATATATATTACAATGTATATTACTGACGCACGATGACTAAAATTTAATATTGATTCAAGAATGTTGGCAACCAAACAGTTGCTGGTAGCCATTGACTTCCATAGTATTTTTGTCCATACTTTGAAAGTCAATGCCAGCAATTGTTTGGTTTGCCACATTCTTCAAAATATCTTCTTTTGTGTTTAACAGAAGAAAGAAACTCATACAGGTTTGGAACAACTTGAGGGTGCGTAAATGATAACCGAATTTTCATTTTCAAGATATCATTGATGAATGTTTAATGTGCTTACCAAGGAGTTTTCCCTTTCACAGATCGCCAAAGGAAGGCTGAAAAGAGAGTTGGGCATTCGTTGGATGAATTTGCAATTTAAACACCCCACCTGGGTCTCCACCTTTATTTCATAGAGACTGCAGATTTCCTGAGCCTGATAGAGTAAAACAAAGAGTTTACCATACAGAATTGATCACTCTCATTAACACTGAGACATAACAGTACATACTTAAAATATGTGCATCGATTTTTAATGAAAACCCACCAGAGCAGCATCAGGTATCTGCTTCTGACTGAGATTGAGGATGATGTGGAATATTTCATCTGCATCCTGCTGAGTGAACCCTACAGCACAATGACAGAATGACACAACTAAGCGACATTATTTCCATAAGTATAAGATTTTAGGATGATATGACACATACGTTGGATGGCTTGATGGTAGAGGCAGTTGAGGAAGTCTTTGTGTGGAGCAGGATATGATTTGTCCCTCATGGCTTCCAGGGTATTCTTCAACTGCAGTGGGACGTTACTCTTATCAATCCCATCTGATGGATGCCATCTTTAAAGGAATAGTTCATCCAAAAATGTGATGAATATTTACTCACCCTCAGGCCATCCAAGATGTAGATGAGTTTGTTTCATCAGAACAGATTTGGAGAAATGTAGCATTCCATCACTTGCTCACCAATGGATCCTCTGCAGTGAATGGGTGCCGTCAGAATGAGAGTCCAAACAGCTGATAAAAACATCACAATAATCCACACCACTCCAGTCCATCAATTAATGTCTTGTAAAACAAAATAAAAAAAATTGTGTGTTTGTAAGAAACAAATTTATCAGTATATTTTTTACTTCAAACCACTGAATCTGGCTAAACCAGGAGTCCACTATCCATAATATTGCTTTCTCCAGTGAAAAAAAGTCGTCTAGTTGGAATCAGGAGAGAAATATGCAAAAATCAAGGAAGAAAAACAGTACAAAACAGTTGTCGTTGGATTTTGATGTGAGAGGACATCAGGGTATGGACTTTTTTACTGGAGGAAGTATTTTTTATTGATTATAGAATTGTAATGCCTCAATGATGATTTGTTTCTTACAAACATGCAGCTTTTCACTCGCAAGATGTTAACTGATGGACTGGAGTGGTGTGGATTACTTCTGGATTATTGTGATGTTTTTATCAGCTGTTTGGACTCTCATTCTGACGGCACCCATTCACTGCAGAGGATCCATTGGTGAGCAAGTGATTTTTATCAGCTGTTTGGACTCTCATTCTGACGGCACCCATTCACTGCACAGGATTGGTGAGCAAGTGATGTAATGCTACATTTGTCCAAATCTGTTCTGATGATGAAACAAACTCTACATCTTGGATGTCCAGAGAATGAGTACATTTTCAACAAACGAAACATGGCTAATTTGCAAAGAGTGCATCTTATTTAAAAGATAATAGAGCTTTACTTGTTCAGTATGTCCAGTAGTTCAGTGGTGGCAGAAAAGGATTGAAGCAAAGCATTTACACAGCAGGACAGATTGTAGTTTAAAAGGCCTCTCACTTCTGAAACATCAGATCATATTTAAGATCATTATTAGTTCCAGCATTTCTGGATAAACTTTTTAAAAAATGGTTCAAAAGACTGAAATGACAGTAGTTACAGTAGCAGTATTTTTTTATTAAAATATGTACTATGATGTATGCAAGTCTCTGTTGACCTACCATAATCCAATGATACAGAGCGTTTGTATAGTGAATAATCCATTTTACTCCAATACTTCCCCATCCAGACATATACGACTGCAAACGCTTCTTGGTGTTGTATCTATGGAAACCTGTTGTTTTGACACCGTCGAAATTAAACTGCGCATTGGTTATAGAAAATCAAACTAAGCTGACTAAATATTCACCCTCTTCAAGATACTTCAGCTCCCGTTTACTCGTAGCATAACAATCAGTTTCATACAGACATAAACAGAAACAGCTGATTTTACTTTCACTTTCAATTCATGCGTCAGTTTCTGTCACAGATGCGAAACTAACACCCGGTTCTGAATAAATGACTACGTAATATTTTTTAACAGTTTTTATTAGTATTATTATTATTATTAACAAACATAATTTAATCACTATTTTTTTTAATCAACAGAAATATCAGGAAACTCTAATAACACATTTTATATACAGACTATTTATATTTAATGTATTTAAACCAGTGTTATTTTACTAGCATTAATATACTATTATGGGTTTTGTTAGAATTAGATTTGAAAAATCTAAAAAAAAAAATAGAAATTTAAAACTTAGATTTTTTTTTTTAGAAATGTCTATATTTATTCATTTTTATTTATTAGTTTTAGTTATTTTAGTATTCACATTAAAAATGAGAAATAAAGCTGAAATAAAGTTTTTTAATGGTTTTAATATTAGTTAATATCCCTGGTATAAACCTCTGACCTTTTAGTCTGTGTATTCTTAATAATTTAATAAAAGTGCATTTGAAAGTACATAAAACTTAGTACAAGTCTTAACCATGACCATTCAATGTGAAGTACAATAAACAGTTGTTAATATAAGTTACATACTGTGTCTGCAGCACAAGCCCAGATCCACATGAACTTATACATTCAAAAACATATTTACACATTTTATTATATATTCCACATGAACTCATACATTCAAAAACATATTTACACATTTTATTATATATTAAAATTACATTTGATCTGCATGAAATATTTCTCTCCAAGATACCATCCATTTTAAATTGGTTATCAGTAGTTTGATATAATTCAATGATTTATTTATATATAATGTAAGCAAGTGCACCAATAAGTGACGTTCATGGCAAACACAGGATGTATTAAGTATTACAAATCTGGGACAGCAACATTGTTTCACAGTTTGTTCCAGGATAACACCATTAAAACTCTAACTCCGGGTGTTGGCTCTGTAATAAGGTCCAAACATGGTGTTCCACGTCTGCTGAAGGAGTCCATGCAGGCGGAGCAGCCACGGGAAAGCTGAGGGCAGAGCTGAGAGCGGAGAAATAGCAGAAAAATGACAGTCAATCATTCTCAAAGTAATTATTGAGGATGCACTGCATAAAAATGGCCAGCGGATCTCTTACCCGGGTCAATACGGATAAGAAGAAGATACAGCAATATTAAAGCCAGAAAAACTTTGCGCACAGAGATGGATCTGATTCTCACACTGGCTACTGAGAGACCTCAGTATAACAACCTCATTATGGAAGTCAGCCGCTGAGTCAGTTTATCTGTCAATCACAAAAACACATCACTGCATCCATCATCTATTCTACAATAAAATGGCTTCCTCATCAATGATACAGTTTGAATCAAATTACATTGCAATTTTTTACTTAAAGCACATTAAATAAAAGAAGGTCACCTTGTTTTGAAGCACTAGTTGTTGGCGCCACAGCTACAGATTCAGGATTTGTAGTGGATGATGTTGCACTTTTCTCATTCTGAATGTCTACCAAACTCCCGAGCTGCTTGTCTCTGTTCTTCAGTGAATGCCACCCGACACACATCAGTCTCCAGCATCTCCAGAGCTTCAGCCGTGAGACCCATCGGCACCAGAATGTGGAGGAAATACAGCTCCGCCACAGTGCTGAACCCCGACTGGCTCATGTTACCAGAGCATTGCAGCCAATCACAGACTGCCTCCTTCATCACAGCCCGCTCACCCACTTTCACATAAAGCAGAATGCTGTGAAACAGTTTATATAGCATTAGGAGTGAGGTAGCGGTACTTCACCCACATTCAAAGGCTATTTAATGTAATTTGTGAGATTAAAGCAGATTCTTCTTACCACATTTGGATAATCTTGGCAGGAATTTTCTCTGTTTCTCCAAACTGCTGCAAAACCCATGAACTCCACGCCACTGATTGAGCTCAGCCATTGCCTGAATCCCCACTATAGTCAAAGATGCTTTCAGTTCAGCATACTTGAAGCTGTAAGGAAAGATTTAGCATGAGATTGGAAATAACTGTCTGTAAATACATAACTTATAATTTCATTATGAGATATTTTACATAAACTCACCAGCTGTCCTCCTGCTCTGCAAAAGAGCCTAAACTCTCAAGTCCTTTCTCGCACGTATCCAGCACAGCCTGAAAGTCTTTCTTTACCATTAAATATTCAACGGCAGCGTCCACCGGAGCTGTTAACGGACACGCGGGTGGGCTGCTGAGCCGAACCGAGCCCGAACCACGACCGCCCGCCAAAAACACGGATGAACTGCTCGTCATAACGGACTGCTATTGAGCTTTTAGTGCATTACAGCCTTAATATTGAAATAAGAAATGTTTTGGAATAATACAGTGTGAATCATTATTGATTATTGAATTATTATTGATTTAAGACACTATACGTAGAACATTTCCATTCAATTCTGTAAACAAAACCAGCTGCACGCCACGGCGCCATTTCCGCAAAGGACGACGAAGAAAATACCCGCCAAAATAAAAGTTCGGAGAAGTAAATATTTAAAACTTAAAAATGTAAACTTTAAAACGAATAATAATAATAGTAGTAGTAAGTACATAAAAACATTTTGTGTGTGTATATATATATATATATATACACACACAAATACATATATATATGTGAATATATATAATATACATAGAATATATATTCTGTAAAAAATATGGGAATTAAGTAGAGACCAAAATATTTTAAATCAAAATTCTTATATTTCTAAGTTCATATTTTAGCTGATATATGTGTGTGTGTGTGTGTGTTTTATATTTTCCATATTTGATCAATTTTAGACTCTCTCAAAATACTACAATATAAAATCTAAAAATATTAAACTTTTCTTGCATAGACAAACGTACACAAACTCCCTTTGGTTAAAAAAAAAAATGTATCAATTAAATAAAATCTTGTGAATAAAGGCATATTCAACAGATGTGTGTATTTTACATTTAAGTACATAATTTATTGATGTCCTACAGAATGCAAAGGTGATTCCATTAAATAAGGCTGGGGACATCAAAATGACATCTTTAATTCCTCTCTCCTGAAGTGTTCACATATTAAATTTTCTCGGTTGTAAGTGATCACAATTTCCAAAATCTTATCAAATCCGTATTGAACAGAAAAGACTACAAAACTAATCAAATTATTGCTGTATCTGTTAATTTATGGTTCAAGTCCAATCACTGGCAACTCCAGCATCTGCTGGAAGAAGCAGACCTCTGTCAATCAACAATTTCATCAGTCCTTTCCTCCGTCTCCATGTTACCCTCAGTCCATAGTCTTTCTCAGGTGTGTCCTTCACCGGGACACTTGTGTTCTCAGTGCGCGGAGGAGTTTTTGCTTGGTTTGGAGGGAAGAGGAGATGTTGAAGATTGGATGGAGACGTGCTGGAACAATGTGGCATTTCTGGCGTCTCAACATTTGGGGCTTCGGGAACTAATAAGCTTGTGTTCGGTGTGTGAACAGAATCCTTAGGCGTTCTATTTCCATTTTTATGGAACTGAAGGTTCTTTGAAACTTCTGAACGCCTGGAGATGGATATAACACGTGTAGCCATCCTCCTCTCCACCCCTTTTCGAGGAAAGTGAGTTCTTCTTGGAGTTTCTCGAAGCTGCTTGCTATGACCGTCCGAAGAAACAAGCCTGTCATTCTTTATCCGTGAACTACTAAAGTTTTCACGCTGGTGCTGCGAACCTGCTGTGGTCGCCTCAAAGGACAAGGGAATATATTTGCAGCCATTTGCTCTTCTAGTCTGGGGGAAACCCAAATCTGGTGCCTTATTTGAGATTCTCGTAGGCATCTGGTTATTTCTCCTCCCTCTGCAACGTCGACTAACCATTGTGTTTTCGAGCGAATTAAACTGCGGAGACACCTACAAACAGACAATATATCAGTTTATAAAATGTCTTCACACATAATATATAAGTAAGGATTGCAAAGCATAAATATACCCAAGGGGTACATGGTGCATCACTTTGCTGTTGTTTCTCTGATATAAATGACTTGGGATGAATGGCACTCTGTAGTTGTGGTCCATAAATGGGCGCCCCCACGAACAACAGCTGAGATTTGTGGGGGTTCAGCAGCCTCTTCTTATGTGAATTGCGGGGCATTAGAAGACATGATATGCTGCAAGGAAGGAAAACAAGATGACATGAGGCAGAGAATTACTACTACTACTGATCTGTCAGTGGCACGCAGGAATAAACGTTTAATTCTCTAAGACAGATACTGACTACTAACACATTTATAAGTCCCAAAACACGTAATACTCATGCAAAACGTCTTATCTAATCTCATTGACATTTTATCATGTTTTATGCAATGTCCCTTAGTAACAGATGCTAGCAGTACTATGAACTATGGAGAAAGTTCGCACGTGGATAATATACATGGCATGCAATGAAAACCTTAGCTGATACTCACGCATCGCTTTGTATTTCTTCTCAATCGCATTGTATTTTTTCTTTGGACCATGTAAATTCGACAAAGACACTGATAAACCGTCTGACTGAGGTTCATCCTCGGTTCACACACTCCAGTTCCTCCCAGAGAAATACAAACTGATTAATTACCTAACAGTCGATTATCACAAGAGGCGGGGCTTGGTGGCCCGGACGTTGTTTTGATTGGTCAGGAAGGATGGATCCAAATATTAATTATTCTTTTTAATTATTCATTCCATCTTTAAAGTTCCAATATTATTATTTTTCATCAGTGTTCCTATTCAGGTGTAAAATTGAAACCAGACCGCTGCTGAAGCAGCACATAAACAGTGTTACTTTTCTCAGCGCATTTCTAAAACGCACCAGTCACACTCGTATGTAAATGACTGAAACAGAATATTAATATTTTATATTAGAATAATTTCTGTTGAAGAAATGTAGAAGGTTTCCGCTTTTCAGAATGCAGAATTTGTATTTCGGAACCACCCCCTAAAGGAACCTTTATACAGTCTATGAAATGAACACAACTTACTGTACAGTAGAAAACGGCAACACTCTCCGCGCGATGGCTCCGCCCATGTGT